AAAGGCCAGCTGTACTATGTTACCATTGCTATATTGAATACGATGCAAGACAAGAAATAGATAACTACCCTAGAACATTTAACAATCCAGTTGAGGAGCAAAGTTTAAATAAATAACAAGAGAATAGTAAGTCACTGTGACTTTCCAGTAGGAAAAAAGATGGTAGCATTGATAATTCAGTTAATTCTTCTGAATGTTCTCATCGACCTCCACTGTTTAATATCTTGGTACGAGTTCATATTTTTTGCATAGTAAAATCCTCCTAAAATGTAGTATTTACTTAGTAGATAACAAAATAAACATGTAGACTGTCAGTAAAGTGAGAAAAAACTTTTTTAAATGCAAGGTTATGTAATGAGATATGTGACAATTGTGGCAACATGTTCAGTTATTACATATATTTTTAAAATGTTTGCTCCTTAGATCTCATATAGTGTACGTATTTACCTATATGTCTCATTTACATCTTGTATAGATTTATAAATTTACATATTTATCCATCCTGATCAGAAATGTGTAACATTTCATGCAGTTTCAATTCCTCCAGGTAAATTCCAATAAATTAGTATTTTGGTTTACCCATAGGCCATCTGAATTTATGTGGGTTACGTTTTTAATGATAACAATACAATATAATTTAATCACTCCATTTCTGGAATCCCATGAATAAAATATAAAAGGCGAATTTAATTTGCAAGACATTAATGAGGAGCTTCAGTACATCTCATCCTTCTGAGAACTTTTAAAAGATATCTAATTATTTTTTCACTCATTATTGTTATGAAAGCTGTGAAAGTCAGGTCACATGTATTTGCATATGTTTTCTTTTATTTTTTAATCATACTGAGAGACTGCTGAATATTCCTTCAGAGAAAATTCAAAGAAAAGAAGAAAACTAGGTCTGCTCTCAGCTAATCCTACACAGTATATTGAGCTGGTTTCTGAACTTGGCCACCCTGGCACTGTCCTGGATTGTTGGTCTCTCATCTCCAGAAATCGATGATGCAAGAGCATCTATTTGCTTTCCATCTGCAGCCTTCTATACTTGGTTAACCCAAAATGAGGTCAAGAAGGTTGGGGTTTTAAGCCCAGCAGTAGCCAAGGAGCGTATAGAATAAGCTGCTTCACTGTGTCGGATTCCAAAATCTTAGCCATCAAAATAGCCTTCAGATGTTTTACTTTCAATCCCAGATACTTTGGAGAGTTCCTTAAGTGGTATTAAACAGCTGAATTTCTCACTGTGCAAGTGCTTATATGTGTCCGTGAAATAGCAGCCAAGTGGCATGTAATGAAATACAAGTTTTTATTATTTTAAATAATTCTTACCTAAAAAGAAAGTATGAGCTAGCCTTTTAGAGCACTACCAGGTACTGTTCCAAAGCATTTTCAAGAAACAGCTTGTTTTTCCTAAATCACAACTCTGTGAAATAACTATTATTATTAATATTATTATCCCAACTTACAGATGAGAAAATGGATGACAGAGAGAGGTTAGGTAACTTGACCGACTATTACATAAGGAGAGATATGTAATGAAGAATTTTTAGATTATTCTCAAGGGCTATATTATCATTGGATGACTTTTTAAAATTCGCTTAAAAGATATTTATTTAATGCCAGTTATGTACCAGGTACTGTGCTCGGAGCAAGAGAAAGAGAAAAAAAATGTGATGAGTACCTTTCCGATGCCAAGCATCCGGATAAACATCCCCAAATCCACGTGTGTATTAAATAGTTATTTTATTAATTCAATAGGTTATCCCAAGTACCTATTCTCTGCCGGGTATTGTCTAGCAAGAGCCTTGTCAAATGTCTGACATTTTGACAGAAGTCTGTATTTTATTATAATGATTCTACCTTTAAAACAACCGTTAGGCATCTCCTATCCAGCTTTATTGAAATGCCATTGGTATTGCCATGCTTCTGCCTACAGAGAGCATCTGTTATAAGATTCGTAATGATGAACAAAAGAAACTAAATACTGACCACAAACACGCTCTTCACTGGTTTGGAAATTGTGAGTTGACTTTTCTCTCGGTCTCTTCTTACAAAGATGGCAGCATTCTAGAAAACTGTTGCCTTCTCATTCCCTAACTACTGTTTTTCATGTTTATACACAAATTCAGTTTGACATTTCTAGCTATCTAGCTTATCAAAGGTGGGCTTGTCTTTAGCACTAAACGATTTCGTAACTGAGAGATGTGTGCCAATAACCAATGAGAAACAGGATTAAAGTTGAGACGAAGTCCTGGAACATGAGGGTCCCCACAGCCACGTTAGGAAAGTCGCAGTCAGGCCAAGAGTGGTCATCCTTTGGGACAGACACCTGAGTTCTTAGGTTTAGGTAGAGAGTAGTAATAGGGCAGGTTAATGGGGAGTGAGAGCTCTTTTCTGAGAATCAGCCTGCTGTGCCGTTCACTTACTACCTGGACTTGACTTTAAAATCATGAATAATTTACTTTTACATCAAAGACATTCTCTAACAAAATGAAGGGCTCTAAATCAGACCATGCTAATAAAAATATTGGTGGTATGTAGTCTATTTAAACTCCACAATTTTTTTTATTACAATGCAATTTACGATGTTTGCAAGTAAATAACCCTTTTTAAAATCATTAGTTATTATCCAAAAACCTATCACTATGGAACTACAAGTTCAAGTTCTTAATAACTCTTCCAAAAAACTGTATTTCTATATCAGATAAAGATGGCTCCTCTTTTGGATAAAAAGGACTTCAGATTTCTAGAAAAGTGAAGACATTGCTGGAGCTGTGCTATGGTTGATGTAGTTTCTCAAATTGACAGTATTGTCATTCTTTGAAAAATAATTTGTTTCTGCTTTTTTTGGAGATTTGACTTTCTTTCTTCAGAAAAAAATGTGGTTTATTGAAAAATCCCAAGAGCTCAGAGTCAAAGACTTGATGTTCAGTGTTAGACTAACTAGTCACGTGTCAGAAGGCAAAGAACTTCAGCAGCCTTTCATTTGTCTGTTGCTTTTGAAACTAGGAGAGCAGTATCTGTCCTGCCTACCTCCTAGACATGTTAAAATTCAACTATCTGGATGCAAATGTTGTCTGAAGAGATAAATGCGATATACAAATACAGTGTATGCTTTGGTGGGCGATTTGTGGGGGATAGATGTGTTTATAAAAATACTGATATTCACTGAATTCCATTGCCTGCTTCCCTGTACAGAACTGTTTGCAATGGAATATGTGTTTATTCACTGCAGTTATGTGTGCCTGCTCATTAGGATATGTGTGTTTACCCCACTCTGCCCCATGGATTGAAAAGATCATTAACAGAGGACATGTTTTTATGATCCGGAGTCCGAGCCCCAGCAACGCTGCACTGACGAGCATCGTAGGTGCCCAACAAGGAGTTGTCGGATGAATGGAAGCACCACCCCCACCTCAAATGCTCTGTGCATTTACGATGTACACGATACACTTGTGCTTACACCTTAAAACTCTCAGAACTGGTGTTGTTTTGAGTTTTGTTTTGTAGGGCAGTTTGTTTTTTCGCTTTTCTAATTTACGTATGCTGCAAAATCAAATTTGGAGTTCATGTCTACGAGTATTAGAAAATTAATGACTCATTTCTTCATAATCCCTTCTCTTGTGGCTTGAAATCCAAATATTTTGTAATTCAAATATTTCGTATTGGCAGGAAAGGGTTTGGTACCATTTAATGCTGTACGGATAACTTTCAAATGATTTTTTCTTCTGTTGTCTCAGAGTATCATTCAAGGTTATGTGATAATGTTTGAGAGAATGAGATTCATAATCAGATAAACTTAGCTCCAAGTCCCAAACGTATCATTTCCTAGTTGCAAGGCTTAATACAAGCTGTTAATTTCTCTCTAAGCCTTTGTTGCCTCGTATGGGCCTGATTACACTTCCCCACTGGGATGCTGGGAAGGTTAAAGGTGGTAATCGACTCAAGGTGCTTGGCATGGTATCTAGCACATAATAGCCTTGAGTGGTAGCCGTTAACCATTGACACAGTTTGTCTTCTAAACAGTCTCTTTTTCCTGTTTTGTTTGTCTTTCGTGTGTCTGCATATGTGTGTATATGTTTCCTTTTACAGATGGATATACAACTGATGACATTGAGTTTTACTGGCGTGGGGATGATAATGCAGTGACAGGAGTGACAAAGATTGAACTTCCACAGTTCTCCATCGTAGATTACAAACTCATCACCAAGAAGGTTGTTTTTTCCACAGGTTTGTATCGTGGGAAATGGTTAAGAGAAAAGAGGCGTCATCATATTTTTGTCAGAAGTGTTCACCTCTTTCAGGATTGGGTCCTAGGGAAGGACAGTGACTCCAGATGCAAACCCTCAGTTCCCTATCAAGCCCGTTTGGAACCCGTCCAGTTATTTTCCAGGAGGCACTCTCCAGCAAAGTGAATGTCTCTCACTTACTAGAGAAGGGGCTGATTGTTGGAGATGGAATGCATGAAGAGAAATGAAGACGTGGGTCTGAGTTTTTCCTATAGCTTCATGTGTCCCACAGAATTGATCGTAATTCTTTGAAACATACAGGGGACAGCCAAGTCACAGTTCACTCAAGTCTGACCACAGTGAAATCCTCTAAAGACAGCAGGGGAGGAGAACTCCACATTTTTCTCAAAGGGTGGAATTTCATTATGTAGTCCTACCTACTGTTTCGAAGCTAAAAACTTTTCTAGATGTAGAGGATATTCTGATGCCTTCACCATCCTTACAGTCCAATATTGACTTCAAATTTGGTTTCATCAGCACAAATTTTTAACAAAAAAAGCCCAGGAATGTGATAATTTGCTACATAGTTATTAAAAGAAAAAATAATAAGCCCATAGGAATGCCCCTCTTTATATTTTTATTATTGAAATTAATTCCTGAAGCACAGAAAAAGCCAATACTATAACTATAGATTTTGAGGGGAGGGAAGTAATTAGGTTTATTAATTTTTTTTAATGGAGGTACTGCGGATTGAACCCAGGACCTCATGCATGCATGCGCTCTACCACTGAGCTATACCCTCCCCACTTTTAACCATAGATACTGAATTGTCCTTCTGCTAAGGACTCAGGCACTTTCTGTCCCTGAAAACTATTTCAAGCAAGAATACAAAGTAGCCTCAAGCTTTATGAAAAGAACAACAGCAACTTTGCCTGTGTTTGCGGACCTCTGAACCCCTGAGACATTATGGAAATGAGTTCCTACTTAAAATATTTTTACTTCAGTATTAATACACTTGCTTTAGCCCAAGAGGGCTAGACAAGGCTTTCTTTCAATTAGTAAGAATATGCACCCACCCACACACACTGTTTTCACTGTGACTCTTTCATGTTCTCAGACTGTGTTCTGTTATGTATCTCGTTTAAAGTGTAATTCCCTAGATCCACCG